TTTAACTGTTACACTTAATTGAGTATTTTCAAAATTTTAGGTTTTCTTTTCTTCTAACTTTTTCACTTTTCTTCTAATATTTTTATTTTATTTTTTTATCTATCAATCATTTGATTAGTCGTAGTAGGTTTACTATTAAAACCAACGCGAATATCATTTCAAATTAATTTTTGATATATATATAGTCAAGTACATAGAAGAATTGATCAATTTTATGATAGTTTCGTCATTACTAGTAGTACCACTATGTAGTCATAAAATTAGTATTATCAGTGACTATGTTTTTTAATAATATTAAGACAGAATTTTCTTTGATTCAAATTTTACTTATGGTAGTTTTTTAGAACCAAAATAAGTATACCTACTCTTGATCAAAAGTCATAAATATAAGGGTTGCAACACTTTTACAAGCTACTAGTGCTTATAATAAATATATTATAAGTATTATTTATACACTTATAACTCAACTTCTATATCGAAATCTATTTATCAACCTAAGGAAAATGATGTTACTCCCTCAGCCCAGCTGAGTGTAAAATCATTGAGTCCTAGCATCATCATTTTTAGCCTTATATAAATCAACATTAATTTTGTCAATATAGTTACTAATCACTTTCACTAATTACTAAAACAAAAACTCTAAAACCTGCCAATATTCTAATACACAATTTTAATATTTTAATAGTAACGTATCAGTTATTTTTATTATACTTATTTATGTATTCGTTTGGATTTCGAAAAACATCAGGATTTACAATTTCATGTCACCTTATTAAACAAAATTCCATTATGAATTTAAGCGCGGTTACTGTTTTGACGCTACAGATCGTGGGATATCAATAATACATTAATAGTACATTGTTACAAACGGATGTAATTAGCAACAAATCGTTTCACGTGCCATTGTCGTTATATAGATTCGAGACGTAACGGGAAGAATAGATTTTGACGACGGTGAGATAATCGAACACAACGGCGTCATCTCTTGGGAAGAATGAACGCGCCGCCATTTTCTCCCTAGGCGCAGTTCCCTATTCCTGATAGCGCGTTGATCGCGTACCGTTGCACCAATTACGATTAATTACTCGAGAAAAGCTATTCGTGAAAGTGACAAATGGCAGCGAAGTTCTTTCTGGAGCGTGAAACACGTTGCATGTGTTTTACAATGATTAAAATTCGCGAATATACCGTGAAGTACTTCCGGGAAACGGTAAAAGAAATATTGAACTAGTGGATGAAACTCGTTTCATTCTGGAGGAAGTTGCATTTTAGATGCTTTTTAATGTAGTATATGTGCATACTGTTGTGTTACTTGTTCCTCATATTTTCAAGAATTACATTTATTTATTTATTCAGGATGTATACCGGTTATCTTACATCATTTACTCTTTCTCGAGAAAGAAAGTATTTACAGTTATTACATAAACAGAGTAGAACTGATATAATTAATCTAACACTTAAATTCGCAGTAGGTTACTCTTTCTTGCACTTAATCAGATATAACATAATTGATACAATAATGATATCATATATTAGATGAAATAAAAAGAAATCCATTATTTTAGCATGAAATTGAATGCAAAAGTAATGGATTTCTGTTTACTGCACCTAATATAATGAAAGACGAAGTAAATTAACATTGTTGGCTACCACCGGAATATTTCAGTATTTGTATTTATAAAAAGAAATCCATTATTTTTGCATGAAATTGAATGCAAAAATAATGGATTTCTTTTTACTACACCTAATAATTTTTATGCAATTATATACAACTGTATATAAATATAATTTTAGTACCCAATCTGGTAATATTTCATTTTAATTTGTAAATTTTTATTTTAAACCTTTAAGTTACGAATTAAACAATTTTTGGATTAATATTGTGAAACTGGATACTAAATATTTTTGAAAAATTCTAAATATAGATTTGTTTATCTCTATAACATTGATAAATTGTATTTCTATTAGAAATTAATTGGAATCGACTATACTTTGTAATAAAGTTCATAGGATGTTTATTTATTTACTTACGTTCCCATATTTGGCTTTATTAATGCAGATAATACTGAATAATTTCTATTTAAATTTATAGATTAATAAATATCTTGCCATTCGAAGAAGATAAAAATAAAGAAATGCGAGAAAATTGAAAAAATATAAATTATTGAAAAGAATAAAATTGGAAATAATACAGGGTGTCCCAAAAGAACGTATACACACTTTAATACCTTATTCTTTCTAATTTATTTTTTCTTTTCTGGGTACTACCCATTTAAAATAATCACGCAAAGTGTGTATACATTTCTTTGGGACACTCTGTATATTGATTAAACGAATCTTCGTATTAGTAATGTTTATTTTGTTTTAATACTCGTTCTAAAAAGTGCATGCAGTGTACCAATTCGATGTGACAGACATGATACATCTCGTACATGAATATATCGTGACTTTTGTTCAAAAAAATTGCTCGATGCAATCTGCACACTAAAAAATAACGTACAGCCGTAACATCATAATTTATCTCGTAATGTCATAAAGTTTGGAATTTTCAGTGCAAAAGAATTGTTTTCTTTCTATTCAATAAAAATAATATTCTAGTTCATACATGAAAAATAAAGTTCTCTCAAATTCTTTCATGAGTTCTCTTTTCTGCAATGATTAATTACTCATTAGTAATGACCAATTACTAAATAAAAACAATTATATTCACAAAGGAACTGATTTTGAAAGAAAAAATGAAACGAGTGTAATAATTTTAATAAACAAATTTTAATCTTTAGGAAATGGTAATTAACAAATTATACTGACCCTTTGATTGATTAATAATTTCAATTTTGCATTGGAAAATTTAAAAAAAATTAAGGATTCCTGTTGTATAAAAAAAAAGAGAAAAGAAAAGGAAAAGACATAAATATCTGTTAATTTATTTATACGCTAGCTTCTTCCTTTTTTCATCTTCATCAGAAGAAAATAAATGACAGATTGCATTGTTCTACGTGAATTTTAATCTGTAACATCGATTGGGTAATTCTTGTAATTCTCAGTTTCCGAAAATTGTGAGTTTCTCTAAAAACGCAAGATTTTTGGCTAAAATGTATTACATGAAAAATAAAAATGTAAAAGATTCATGCTCATCTCAAAAGTTAGGTGAGAGTTTATTTTTTAACCTCTTTATATTAAAAAGTCACTCGTATGTTTGTATCGAATAACAAACTTATTTTAAATAACAAGTAATTCAAAGGAATTTCTTAAAAATTTACGATTAGTATAAAAGTGTACAATTTACTATATTTTCTATTTTATAAAAGTAAATTTATAATTTCCATATTTTTTATTTCTAGTCGTGTGTGAAATTTATATTTCCACTGACACATATTGCCATTGAAAGTTACACATTTGCATCTGTCACGCTATCCCAAATTTTAGGCAGGAGCTTCACCGTGATTTACTACCGAATTAGTTAAAATTCACAATAATCCAATTTTCGATACTTCCTATTTTCAGGAAGTAAATACGAAATATTCGTATCTTTTATTTCCAGTCGTGTGTAAAATTTATGTTCCCAACGATTAATTTTAACATTCGAAATTACGAAGGATTCATCACGAAATCTCAAAACGCAGAGAGTTGATCGCAATTTACTATTAAATTAAACTCTTCAATGATGATATTTATTATATCCTACTTTTAAAGAGTAAATAAAAGATTTTCATATTTCTGATTTTCGATCATCTATATTGCAAATATTGTACCAAAAAAATAATACTTTTACATTCATCACGGTATTGCAAATTTTAAACGAAGATTTAACTAGGATTCTCTGTGATCAAATATATTCTACTTTCTACTTTTAAAAAACGTATTACAATTTTGCATATTTTTTGTTTCCAATCGTCTATTAAATTTATAAATCCCACGACATATTTTGTCATGTTTAAACTATATATCTGTCACGACGTCTGAAATTCTGGGCAAATATTTAATCAGGTAAAATCAGTGATCAAATTTATCATATTTTCAATTTTCGATCACCCATAAAATTTATGTCCGCAACAATATATTTTACCATATTCAAAGTACAGCTCTTCAACATATATATTACTATATTATAAATTGTGAGCAAAGGTACAGTCAGGAACTTTAATAAACAAATTTATTATTTTTCTTAACTTTTTTGATTTTCACGGTATTTTAATTTTTACACAAAGAGTTAATCCAAAATCTATGATAATTAAATTGATTATATTTCCTAACTTTGAATAATATATATATAAGCTCTTCGTATTTTCAATTTTTCAATCCCCCATAAAATTTGTCCACGACAATGCATTTCATCACATTCAAATTACACCTCTGTACCAGTCACTATATTACAAATTCTGAGCAAAAATACAGTTGAAACCATTAATAAATAAATTTATCTTTGCATCTATCGCGACATTTCAAATTTTACACAAAGAATTAATGAAAAGCTTCGACAATTAAATAGATTATATTTTCTAACTTTAAATAATAAATCGAAGCTTCTCGTATTTTCGATTTTCAATCCCCATAAAATTTACCTCAGCGCCAACTCGTTTTACCATATTAAAATTACACCTTCGCATCTATCACGGCGTCGGAAATTTTCCTCTTTATACTCACACACACACACGCTTGTCCAGTATTATACGATTAATCTCTGAAAACGTAATAAAGGTGGCTTACATCGTCCTCGTCTTCATTTGCATAATACATTTACAGGATAAAGGGCTCGTTTACATGAACCCTCCGCATCATTCTCTCCTTCCAACCCCGCTCTAAAGAGCCGTCGCGCGTTTTCGTCCACGGATATAATAATTCTTTGTAAAGCCGAGTCCAATTAGTCTCCAACTGGCTCGTGGTAGACGCGGAAGAGAGGAGAGAATGATGATCGATACGGGATGGAAGGACAGGCGAAAAAAGTAGGCATCTCTGTGCGTTACGGATTTAATTGATGTCAGCGAATCGGTCTGTTTCAGTAGCGGGATGGTTCAAAGTGTCGGTGCTAATTTATCCCCGGACCAAACATTCGGATCGATTCGATCGCTGTCAGTGACGAGAGAAGTCGCCAGTTTCCCTCTATCAAGAACGCCTACGCCGCCTCCGCAACACAGGTGGGTAATTTTTCTCCATTTCTTGCGTTCACCACCGCATCGCATTCGATAAATATCGAATTCACCTCTTGGGAGGGGCAGCGTGTCCCCAACGACAAATGGGATGCCTGGGATATGGGAGAAATAAAGAGACCAATTTTTGAAGGACCTCTGAGCGAAGATTTCGGATGTGATCACTCTTCTAGCTACTTTCTCGTTCAGATCCCACAGACAGACCAATATAGTTTCTTTTCTCTGGCCCTTTTTCTATATTTATTTTCTAAATCATATACTAAGTTCTTACTAACTCCCCATTTAGCAATAAGTACATCTACCTCTGAAATTCAAAGTGCAGTCTATGCGTACTCTGGCTCAGAGTCTTTAGTTTATAAGATCAAATTTACTCGATCTTTCCTATTTATACGTTTAAGGACCCCTATTAAAAATCCCTATTTTCTTGTTAATTGTTTTATATATATTTAAAGGCTTTAATGAACGTATGTTCCAAAAGAAAAAAAAGAAAGACTTTCTCGTTGAGGATTTTCGTGTCCGAACGTGACCAGTCTAGTTGGAGATTGGTTTATTTACGTTGAGGGGTTATATTGAGAAGAACGTATCCATGGAATCGGTGGAAGAATATATGTTTATTTAACACGTTAAACGCCATGCTGGTTTTACGTGCCGTTCTGTTTACCTCACAGTTAGCCGTCATATGGGCCCTTCCGCGGGCCCTGAACGGAAAGCCTAAGCTCCGGCGTAGTGTTTAACGTGTTAAATTTACAAATAACGTCTTCACTCGTCCAGCCGTCGTTATTTATATATTATCGCTCGTCGGTTTTTATTATTTTGGTGGTACAATGTTCTCCACGGTTACTCATCGGTCCTCGCCAAGTCGCGGACTATGGGCCGATGTTCAGCCTAACTTGTCTTAGGTAATAAATATATATTCTGAAGGAGGTGTGGTTCGGGGAGCCGAAGGGATTCGAGGTAACACGTTAAACGCCATGCCGATTTTACGTGCCGTTTCGCTCACTCCACAGTTAGCGCCACAGTTGGCGCCACAGTCACGCGGGCCCTTTCGCGGGCCCTTCCGCTGGCAGTACGGAACGGCGAGGCTTGAACGGAGAGTCTAACGCCACCGGTGTGACGTTTAACATATTATATTAACTCTTTGCACTCGAGAGGTGAGCTTCAGTCACCATTTCATCAAATTTGGAAGATCGCTATTAATCAATATATAAAATTTAATGTAATGTAACAGTGTGCGAGGTATGGAAATCAAATAATTCTTCGATTCTATTATTATACAATTCTTTATTTGCTGCTGAAAAAAGTATGGTTAGTTTTTTAGTAGAAAATCTTTGAATTTCTATTCTTCTTTAGCCAAAAAATCGTCAAGTGCAAAGGGTTAACCTCTTAGGCACGGATGAATTTTGCGCGAGATTGTTTCTCTGTATGGCAGAGTTTAACGCGAATTACGTGTAGACGATACAGCACTGCAACGTGTGACGGACAATGCTATTTTAAAAAATTATAAGGTCTCAGATCGGCATGTTAAAAGGAGCATTTGATATATTAGGAGCAAATGGTATATTTATTTAAATGAAAAGCAACAATTCATACCTGACACTGACACATCGAAAACAAAGACTGTATATACTTTCTCTATACTGTTGACACTGCTATAAAACGTTGTGAAGGCAAAGAAAGTGCGAAGCATAACATTTTATTTAAAAATAGAATCTTCGCATAAGACTTATTTATAAATGCATGGGTTACATATGGTAAAGACATAATCGATCATTTTAGACAAATGTCCATATTTCCAATCCACGTATGTTACAATGACAAACCTCTGACACGATTAATCATAAGGAATAATAACATCTCTTTAATGTTAATTTATCCATTCTGATATTATTCGTCATCAATTCCTATAGTAAAGATAAAGCAAAGTGAAAAATGGTTTGTCAGGTAGGTTGTCTCATGTAATATGTACAAACCGTCTCATTTATATCGATTTTCAGGAACATGTTCGAAAATATTACTGATATCGACATATGTTTCAGATAGAAGTTATACTATTTCAGAAAGGTCAAGACTGGTGCTTTTTGTGGGCAGGCGCGTGGAAAACGAATAAAGGTCAAATCTGTCTTTGGAAAACAAAATGTACATTGTTCAATTTTAAAATGTCAATACAATTAGTTAATTTTTTATAATGAAAAGTATTAATCTATTTATGTCAAAAATGATTAATTTAACACTGGAATTACTAAAAGTATAATATATATGTATATAGTAATAATTAAATTATTATAATGGAAATAAATAGGTATATATAATTATATTTCTGAATCAAATTGAGACCATTGATGGAAAAAGGGTACACAGATATTTTGAAATTTATAGAAAATGATTATATCATTGTTTTCAGAACATATTACTGTATTTTCAGAAAAATTAAAAATTCCTCAATTTTTATAAAAATTTCTATTATTATTAAAAGAGTAATATTAAAAACAACAAATTTTGAATTAGTCATTTTGGTTGATTTGGTAATTTCATTAATATTTAATATTTAATATTAATATTTCATTTATATATTATATTCTACTTAATGTTGAACATAACAATTGCTCTACTTAATATTAAAACTATCTCAACTTCTGTTATTTAATTATTATTACTAATTTTTATCATCGAAATTTCCTTTTTTCTTTTCGGAGTTAATATTCAAATATAAATTATTTAATCCCCGTATAAAAATTTACTAAATCACTAAACGACCTATGAACTCTACCTGATATTTCCTCCGAAATTTATTTGCATATCTGCAAGCTTATCTGTTTCAGCTGAAATATCTCCATGAAAAATCTAATGTTATCAAATCCCAGCGAAATATCAACACATGCACCTTGTACAGTCCAATAATTGGGGAATTTTTTTATTCATTCTAGCTTACACTTCTCTATGATAACAAAATTCCCATGATATTAAGGCCCCATTCGTACTTGTGTCATACGTTCTCCAAATAAAAATTGACTATCTCAGTTCGTTATTAAAACTATTAAATAATCTGTAAATCAATGATCTTTTTTTAAATAAATAGGTTAATGTCTTTTTATAGATGATGACCAGTTCTATCAATTAACGTATTCAAATACAGGAAATTACTTTAAAAAAAACAAGTTCAACTTCTATGTCTCTCAGACGTCTGTTTAGAAAAACACCAATCGAGCTGTTCCCTGAGGGAGACTATTCAACTTTTATGTGAAACATCTGTCGGTGTCAGTAACAGCTTAGATGTCCATAGAGGTCGATTGAAATGAAAAACACAGGATAGGGGCTAGACAAATGGAATTACCCAACGAAATTAGTCTAGTGCGTCGTCCAGGTCTTCTCGAAGGAAAATGATCGCGTGGATGCTATATTACACGATTCTTTATTCTAAAGTTGAGATTTTTCGGAATAATGAAATTACTAAGATACTGAAAAATATAAGAAATTTTCGAATTTCGAAGGTTAAAAAATGGAAATGTTGAGTTCTAAAGCTGAGATTTCTCGAAATAATGAAATTACTAAGATATTGAAAAATATAAGAAATTTTCGAATTTCGAAGGTTAGAAAATGGAAATTTCTGGAAACGATGAAACTTCGAAATTACTTGGAAACTAACAAAATTTAGAATTTTGGGAAACAGAAATTAGTAATTATCTTTTTCTGTGATTTGGAATCTTCTAATATATTTTCTAATAGAGATTAGAAGAAGATATACGATGGATAAGTAAAGAATAAATTTTAGAAAATTAGATTTGTGTTTATCTCGAATTGAATTAGTGGTCCATCATTTTTCTATTTTTCAATTTTAAATTGAATTTTATTTTTCAGTTTCGTATCATAGGCATCATTTGGCATTAAATACTAGGTGAAATGCAACTATACTTTAACTATACTTCTACCTCAATTACTACTAAATATTTTAAAAAATTGAACACATAACTGAACTGAATGTTCATTTAAGTAATTCTCAGAAAATTGAAATTATTCGATGACAATTTCTTCCAAATTTTTGAAAATAACCTATATAACTATAGTACATATCTACAAGTAAATTAGACAAAAGAATATATTATATTACGATATATTATATTAAAGAATATATTCAGTCACACTGAAATATAAATTTATTATATAAATAATGATTTCGAAAAATAAAGATTCATTTTTACAATATCTAGAGTGTACACCTATCCCTCGCTCGATATTATAGAAATCAAAGACCAAAATCCCTAATTTCGAGAATTTCAGATTCGAATTCCAAGAATTTAAAAACCAGTTCTCCAACCTACCCGTATTCAAAAGTAAGACAAATATAACTTAAGTCTGACATAATGTTGTTGACTGACTTCTGCAAACTGTCCTTTCCTTTCTGAGAACCCGTATTTATATGTCTGTAAACCTACAGGTAGTGCCCCTAGGTTTTACGTCTGGAGGGTAGGAATAGAAAATTTATCTGATAAAATTTTCTTCTCGACGAGAGCCTGATTAAATATAACTTCATGTAAAATTTCTGATCTAGAAATTCCCTAAAAGTGCACTAGGAAAAAGGAAATTATGGATCAAGAATCTAATATAATCCAATTTAACAAGGATAATTTCCCAAAAATTAATAACCAATTTTCATCAAATTTACGAAAGACAATCTTCAAAAAATATATTTAATCTTAAAAGATTAAGATATAAAGATTAAAATACATATTTAATATATAATTAAGAAATATATTTAATCTTCATTTAATTCTTTTCTCTTTTAGTGGAAATGGTTTATATATGGGGATTGAATATAGCTAAATAATTTAACTTAAAATACTATCTGAAATATTTAATACATTTGTTATAATACACTGTTTATTAATTTATATTAATTTAATATATTATATTAATTTTTGTTAATTATATTAATTTATATTTCTTGTTAATTTAAAATATTTATTTAAACAAAATCTTAATGTAAAGAACCA